GAAGTGAGGATGGGAGAGAGAGCCAAAAAATTCGGATATCCATTTCTCATGAGAATGTATCTCTTTGTCCGCTTCATCGGAGAGGGAGAGAGAAGGCCCCTCAGGACCCATCAATCAGAGGCAGTTCGGATGCTCATGTGCCCAGACGGGCTGGGACCGTCCTCGTCCTCTGATCCCTGCGTCTCCCATGTCTCGTAAGTCATATTCATTTCACCCTTCATCAGGTTGCCATATGTGAGTACTAGTGTGCGGAAGATGGTTCTAAGCTTCTGGACACCGGTCCCCTGATTTTGACCGTGGATTCTCAGACGCATCGCAAATGCGGATGTTTCTGATTTGGTCTCATTCATGAATTCTATTCGACCGATTTTTGTGCCCGGGCAGGCATTGTAAACCTTTGATTGGTGATTCGACCCACCCTGGAAATCCTGTTTACTGTTCCAAAAGCCAAATTTTTGCATGAAATTCTGCAATCCTAACCTAGTTCTGTTCCTAACCCGTTCCCCCAATGGGAATAAACTTGTTGAGCCTCGTTTTCTTCGGAGAGAGACCGTCAGGCTTTGAAAGAATTTCGCCCATTTCGCGGAAGATAAATATGAATGAATGAAAATGCGTGAGTTTGTGCACATTCTCATGCTCATGCACTTTTGATGCACTCGTTGTAATTGAATGCTCTCTAAGGTTTTCCCTGAAAAACCAAGAAGGTTCTCTTGCTGCATGGAAAATGAAAATTATCGCACCGTGAATCTAGTCCTAACCCACAAGTATTCCATTTCGCACTAATAGTGTGCGGATATTAAGCGATTTCAGTTGTCGCTAAAATACGAAATGCAGTTATGTGTAACGCGTGTGTGCTGGGTAGAGGTGGATGGGAACATAGTGAATTATTATATTATTATTATATTATATTATATTAGCCATATATTTCATCTTGGTAGGACGAGACTTCATTTACATCCAGTTTTATAAGATTCCTGCTGCTTGATATGTTTTTCGAAAGTTCATGTGTACAGGCCACATGTGCATTACGTTTGTGACGCAGATTGAAGGGGGGGGGAGGGAGTAGAAAGTAGGTGGAGTTTTGAAGGACGGGGAAAAAAGAACATGCTTCACTTCCTTAAGGAAGAGGGCGAAAATGAGGAACAAAGGAAAACATGAAAGAGAAACAAAGATAGAAAGAAAATACATTTGCAGCCTGTAATGGGAGCAGCCAGGCTTTTACTGCGGTTCAGCGGGCCGAGGCGTGAAGCGGGCTGAAAGGGCGATTCCTGTATTTGTCGGTAGGAATTGTACTTAGGAGTATCTCCATTATCCTCCCGCCGCTGCGAGTCCTGGGCACGAGGAGCCGCTAATGTGCCTCTGATTGATGGGTCCTGAGGGGCCTTCTCTCTCCCTCTCCGATGAAGCGGACAAAGAGATACATTCTCATGAGAAATGGATATCCGAATTTTTTGGCTCTCTCTCCCATCCTCACTTCTCTCTCTCTCTCTCTCTCTAAGTGAGGAGAAAAAGGGAATCAATGGTAGGGCACCTCGCCAAGCTACAGGATCTGCTCCGTCAGAAGTCGCGAGTTCTCCGCCGGAAGCGATGATGAGCTGCCGCCCACGCGATTTCCAACGTAAGTGCTCGCTCCTTCCGTTCGTCATTCAGTTATATGTCTCGTAATCTAATCTCATTTATTATTTAGTAATTCCCATCCGATCGGCTGCGTAGTTTGCATCAATTTACTCAACCTTGTAATCATGGACAGCGACGCAACTGTCATGAAGTGCCAGTGTCGAATTGCTGGAGGCGTTTACATTACATGAGCCGTGAGTGACATTGTAATTTGTCGTATAAAAATAAATTATTTCCTGCTTGAGAACTAGGTTCGAGTGGTACTCTCTTGGCAGATGTATTCTTATATCAGAAATGATTAAGGTTAACCAGCTGTTATATATTATTACTCCAGTATTGAGGAAACTGCACAAGATCTCCTCTTGATTGGAACCGAGTAATTGCCAATTATCTCGGATAACAGGCATTCAATTCAATTAAGCCTTGTCTTACAGAAATGAAGGGCTTCCCAGATGCCTTCATGTTGGAAGTTCGGTAAGATAAAGAAAATATTCCCATTTATATCCTCCAGGTGGGTCATTCAAGCTTAAAGCCGTGCAATGAAGACACGATGACGACTCGTTATTTCGAACTCAACGGCCGTTAGCAGCAGGGGGACGAATGTCACTGCTGCTAACGGCCGTTGGCCTCGAGTAAGGGGTGGATGAAGGGGTGGATGAACATGGATGAAGGAAATAATAATGAAAATATCCAATTGATATCACAAATATAGGCAGGTTTGAACTTGAAATATATCCCGGCTAGTGGTTCTTCTCAGATAATGACATTATTAACTGGCTTCTCGACATCAGTTATACCGCTGAACCTGTGTGGAAATGGTTGTCCATTGTAGGCGATTGTCCCCATTCTCCTCAAAATGACCTGAAGAGCATCCAATCACATGTAAATTGGCACGTCACCAATACCTAATCGAAGACATTTTTTTCGGAAAAACCACGATATGACAGAAAAAATGTGAAAATTTGAGATGTTCTATCCTGCATGTATTCGCCTTTCGGCTCATTCTCGCATGTTCTTTACTTTCCTCGCGTCTAGGGAGATGAGAGGGAGGCGTGCGGTGCTGGCCCTGGGCGCGTTCTCTGTGGTGCCCATGCTCCTCTCTCTGGTACTCCTCGGTCTGCTCTCCAGGAATCGGCCTCTGCAGGGTCTATCTGTCCCGGTGAGATTTGATTAAAATCTCTCCCTCGTTTCCTCCGCCCGCTCTCATTCGCTCCTTGGTTCCAGATGCCTGGGGTCCTGTACAGGAGCAAACGGTGGCGTGAACCGCGTTGGTGCCACCCGGAAGGTCTGCATCTCTTGGATCGCCCGGGAATAGTCACGGCACTCGCTTCCTTTCCGGGATCCGGAAACACCTGGCTACGATATCTCCTTCAGCAGGCGACAGGTTGGGTCTTCTCGTTTACTTTCTTTTCCTATAGTGCAGCTGTTTAAGGCAACCGTACCCCTTGACACTGACACCCCTCGCTTGAAGAAGTAAACGTGTATGGATTATCCATACACTGCTTGGTAGCAGTGTATGGATAATCCATTTCCATTTTTGGCCTCAAAACGATTTTTTTTTAATCTTGAGCTTATAACGTAACCCACCTTTCAAAAGAAAAAAACGGATCTTTTTTCAGGTTATATGACGGGAAGTGTGTACTCAACTGACATGTATCTACGCGACCACGGCTTCCCGGGCGAGGGGATCCAAAACGGGTCTGTCTCCGTGGTGAAGACCCACGAAGGGGATTGGGACGGTTTTGACCGGGCCCTGCTGCTGATCCGGGATCCGGGACCGGCCATCCAGGCCGAGTTCAACCGGCGCTACGCCGGACACCTCAGACGCGCGCCGGAAGAAGCGTTCCGGCGCCAGGACGGGCGAGGTCAGTCCAATATGTACATCTTGAGAAAGGTCAATCGAACTCAGTAAGAAAGCCAATAGCGATAAATGCAAGGAAAGCTTTGCTTTAAGACGCTGTTTGCGTTTTCGTATTTTTTTTAGTTTTTTTTTTTTGGCTTTCTATCGTCCATGATTATTTCTCTCTTCTGGGAGAGCGTGAGGGTAGAACAAAAAAGCAACAACATGGTCTTGAACGATCTCAATACGGTTCGCGAGCAGTCCCCAAGTGCTATTCGCTCCAAGAATCGGTTTTACAGTCGTCCTCCATGTTATACACAAATCCAAAAGCGAGAGTACCTATTCCACGCAACCAAAGTTGGTGGCAAAATTCACGAAAGGGAAAAATGCGGAGATATTATTGCGATTGTGAAATCTCTAAATCCATACAGTGCATAAATGGAGGGGCCTCCGAGCAATCTGCCTGGGGACCTCCGTGCCGGGACCCAACCGATCACGTTATTCATTCCCGCGTGCCGGACCGTCCAGAGATGGCGGAAAAACTTGTAACTCTCGTGGCAGCGAAGGCCTCTCCAGAGACATCTATATAGATTCTATGTCTAAATCAATAAAGGGTCAGCAAAGTTGGGCTCTCGCCATTAAACCTTGGTCCTGAAAGGGTTAACCGAATTGTCGACATGAGTTACTGATTTTTTTTTCCATTTCGTCTGGTGTTCCCCAGGTACAACTTCCAGGAAGGCTTTGGTAATCCTGATTAGACCAATATAACGAGTAACCCGGCACGTGGCTTTCACCTCTCGTCCATAACAGCGTCTTAATCGGTCTGGCAGACAGAAAAAAAACTTGGGAATAGTACCAGACGATACGAAATCATCATTTTATTAGCCTGTCTTTTAAAACCAGGAATGGAAGGAAGCAATGAAGCAATTCAAAGCCGACACGACCTGAAGTTATTTTCGACGCTGTCGAGTGCCCTACTCGACATTGCCGTAACATCAAAACGATATATTTCTGGAACGTCACGGCAACGTCACGACGACGAAACATCGATTCTCGCTCAACGCTCGCGTCATCGTGCCGATAGGGCGAGACAAACAACGTCGAAACTTCTCGTGTCCGAAGTGATTTCTCATCTCTCTCTCTGCTCTCGTGAGACATTTCTTAACCCGAAGCCATGGCATCCAGACGCACCTGCATCCACCCCCCCCCCCCCCCCCCCCCCCCCCCCCCACNCCTTAATCTTCCTCTTCCTCATCATGCTTATGGTCATGAGCTGGGCTCCCCCCCCCCCCCCCCCCCCCCCCCCCCCCCCCCCCCAGAACGTTCCATTGATCACTCCGCTTCTTCCTCCTTCTATTCATGAGGAGTACAATCATCTATTGTCTCCTTTCACGCATGGACGGTCGTTACTTCCCATTGCCGACTGTATTCGTGTATGACATAGATAAAAATAGCCATTACTGGCGGCTGATGGAGAACGTCCGGGCGCACTGCTACAGTTCGGACTAATGCCCTGGAAGAAAATCCTCGTCCCGCGTGTTCTCCGAGTCTCTAAAGCGTCCTAAAATGGCAGAATGCCGCCATTGCGGCCGCAATGGCGGCATTCTGCCCAAGGACCAAAACATCATTTAATATTTTTTAGCACGGCTCATCAACTAAGAACAGTATCAGCCAGATACTCCCTGCCAAAATGTAATATGCACTTCATGATGGAACATATATTCAGGGGCACAGCGTGGTATCCCAGCCTGTATGCGCAAAAACAACCAAAAATTAGTTCAGAATGGGTCGAGTGAAGGAATATGGTAAGAGTCACGAAAAATTAAGGAACGGGACACTCATGGGAACGAAACGGACGTTTCTTTCGTAATAAAATTCCCGATGAAAATGGATTAGACAATCAAAGAAGTACTTTTTCGTACACCGCATCGTCGGCAAAGGTGCCATGCTAGCAACAGTTTCGCCCTGCTTCGGTCCATCGATGATCGGATGATCCTCGGATGATCCTCGGATGATCCTCGGATGATCCTCGGATGATCCTCGGAGAGAACTCGCCAACAGGCGACGAACGATCGCCCATACTGACTCCGGAAGTCGTAGTCCGACTTCGAAAGTCTCCCCCCGAGACTCGTTTGTGGTCTTACCGTCGGCAAAAGCACCATGGGGAATCCACGCCGGATCTCGAATGTCTCCAATGTCCGTTGAAACTCTTCGCAGGGAATTAACGCTGGTACGAAGCGCATCTCGTGATCATGCACGTGCCGTTGCCGAGGCCATTCCCGATCGAGAGGCTCCGATGTTGAGGCTCGGGGCGTGCGAATTCGGCGGAAAGGTCTATGTGCCACTTGGCACTGTACCGTGCGGTAATGTGCCACCTGGCACTGTACCGTATACGGTACCGGCGATGTACTTCCTGCTACGAATTTTCACGCGCCACTGCATTTGAACGGCTTTCTCCGCGTCAAAAACGCAGAATCGAGCACACGTTGGTACCTATTTTGATTTAGCGGAGGAACGACACCATCAAAAGTTTGTCGGCTGTTCACGGCTAGACGATAGACATCGCCGGAAATCACGAAACAGGATCACGAATCACGAAACACGACCGTTACCGGGAATGTCAACGATCGTTTCGTCGAAGGAAGCAAACGCGTTTGCGCTGCCTGTTAAACACGAAAATTGCTCTCGTGTTTTTGTATTTTTCCCACAAGAGCGTTTTCGACTCTGGCGGATACTCGAACGGGTTCGTATGGAACGCCATGCCATCACGACGACAACTGTGCCGTAGTTAGCCTTCCTTTCGAACCAATCAGCCTGGTAGTGTTCACCAGAGCATTCCACATAGTGCCGAGATGGTGCGAAAACGGCCGGAACGGCCGAAACGACGTCGGGCGTCCCGGCCACCCGGCATCGGACGGCGGCACGACGCGTGCACGCACGACGCGTGCACGCGCTGCCCGACGCCTCGCCTCGACAGCCTCACGTTGCCCCGCGGTGAACGCAGCCCGACGCTGCCTCCATTTCGGCCCTCCTCTCGGAGCTCACACCCTCACGTTACCGATCAGCGCAGACCCGCGCTGCCTCGCCGCTTCCGTTCTGCAGGCGCTTCGCATCGCATCGATGCCACTCAGCTGCTTAACCCTTTCGCTGCGGCGCTCGAACGCACTCGAGCTCGGAGTGCCGTGCCACCGATGTTTCCTATCGCCTATGGCACTGTGATCGTGCTTTTACATCTCGAGTAAGCACGTTGCACCCAAGTATGTAATTGTGCTTCGCATCTACGATGTGTAATATGTACATGTGGATGTACAATGTACGTGCATTATTTTACCAGCCATCGGTGGCATCTTCTAAGGGTTCCGCGGAATTTCTTTCTTAGGAATTCATTCGTCGTCCTCGCATTCCTCTGCTGAATCGGCCCTGGTCTTTTTCGTACGCATTTCCCCATCGAAGGAAATAACGTGGCTAAATTCTTAAGGTCTCGACATTCGAGGCTGCTGCATGCTCATGCGTATATCTAAGTCACCCTACGCGAACAGAGACGGCGAGTGACAGCTAAAACTTTCGCAGTGAAAGGTTTAAATCCATCCCATCCAGCCTTTGACCTGGAGAAGCAAAAGGCTCGTCGGCCCAACAGCTGAGATCCAGGCCCTAAACAGGGCCTTCCACATCCATAGGGTTGCGATCACGCGAAAACGGTCAGAAAACGGCTGGAATGACGTTGGGCGTCCTAGCCAACTCGAGTATCGTTATGGGTTCGACGTGTACACGCGCGGCTCTCCGCGCAACAGCCTGATGTTGCTCTCAAATTAATGCCGCTCTCCAATCGGCATTAATATCTTCAAGTTTTGCTCATCGGTCGGTGCAGACGCACGCAGCCTCGGCGCTTCTCGTACGCGCGCGGATCGCACATTCCGAAACCGCCTCACCCGTCCGACCCAACCGAGGTCTGGAAAGGCAAGGGCTCGTCGGTCGAACATCTGCATGGACGAATCACGAAACGCACCTGGCCCATGACACGGAATGGAAAAGGCTCATACACTCTTAGAAAAAGGGGGAGCGATTTTTCTAACTCCAGTTTCACCCCCCCTTTCACTCGGGGAAAGGAGCGACTTCACTCCATCACCAAGGAGTAAAATTGCTCTCCTCCCCCAAATTAAGCAGGGAAGACCGCTCAGTTTTGGGCTATTCGGAAAAATTCTGTCGTCCCTCTGTATTGACTAATATCTCTACTCTGTGGTGAAACCTG